AATAGGATAGTACAACGTGACACACCCCCTTTCCAGATAGTATGTTTGTTCATATGTTACCTTGTATCCACATTGGCAGACCACTTCTTGAAGTTGAATTAGGAGAATAGCCAGTGAAATGTTAAGTATCATATTGTCAACATTTCAGTCTTTTATTCCGAGGTGAACTTTAAAAAACAAACAAACAAAAGAATCTTTTTGTTTCCAGCCCATCATAGAAAATGAGCATATCATGAGTTACTTGACTAAAATTCCCAGCTCAGTTTTGTGTATAAGTGCTCACATGAAGCAAACTTCAAAACAGCAATGCATGACAAAATTGTACCCGGTAGTAGTAAAGCAATAAAACCTTAATAGATTGACGATGAAATACCTTATAGCCTGATCACAACTCTGACAGAATCAACGTGGACCATATAAAGCATTACCTTTGACAGACGTCTTCCCTCAAACGGTCGTTAAAGGTACAACGGTAGGGGCAACCTTTTATGTAGATGACTTATTAAAGCTTGTGTGCCCCGTTGCGCCCTCTATCAAAACAGCAATGCATGACAAAATTGTACCCGGTAGTAGTAAAGCAATAAAACCTTAATAGATTGACGATGAAATACCTTATAGCCTGATCACAACTCTGACAGAATCAACGTGGACCAACATGGCAATAAAATGAGAACATATAAATTGTTTAAATCGTTTTTGAAAATAGAAACTTACCTGACCGAAATAACAAACTTCAGCCTTCGGAGAATTGTGAGTAAATTTAGGCTTAGTGATCATAATTTAGAAATTGAAAGAGGCAGACAACAACGACCAAAAATTCCTGCGGATGAGCGATTTTGTAAAAAATGTAATACAAATTCAGTTGAGGACGAACAACATTTTATTCTAGATTGTGAATTTCTCAATAAAGAAAGAGGGGAGCTGTTTCAGGAAATAGGAATTAAAAATAAACTAAATAAAACAGATAATTTCATTAAAATAATGACGTGCTTCATACCCCTGGCAAAGTTTCTAAATAAGGCAAAACAGAAATCAGGTATATGATAGCTATCACCTTTACATTGGGAGAATCCTGTAACTATCCTTAATTTGTTTTTCCTATTAAACTTTTATTTTTAATTTTATCTTATAGTCTAGCTACTGTATTTTTTCTTATGATTTGTATTTTATTTACCATACTGCGCCCTCTGATGGCATAGTAGTGTAATAAAGTTATTATTTTTATTATTATCAAAGGCTTGCGCAAACGTTTGCGATCCGTGGTACATCGTGGCCATTTCACAATGTAATCTCATCCGTACAATTAATTAAATAAAAATTTAGTATATTAGTTTTATTTGTGACTCGCTGTTAACATAACTCTGTACTATGATATTGGTGATATATGAATTGGGTGCCATAGGATGGTACTTGATGGCCAACCAACCTAATCAAATATGTATTTTGCATTGTACGAGTGCAAAATAAGTTATTAGGGTATTAGGATATTAGTACCAGCTGTTTTATACGCATGCGCATTGGCCGATCCTGTCAAATCTCGTCATCTGTTTTGGGGCGTGTCAGCCATTGGGTAACGGAATTAAGTCACGATGTACCACGGATCATCTCCACGTCCTTTGTAAACACCACATACACGATGTACCGCCATCCAATGGCGGGATGAGCGGCTTCCTTTGTGCACAATCAGCGTCAACTTCATGAAAGAAGCACGACGCACTTGCTAAGCCAGACCGTCTGGTGGCGCCCTACTATTTCATCAATAACCAAATATACTATTATCCTGTTCCCGAATTGATCATTTGTTTATTTGGAGTAATTTCCAATTCTACGCTAGGTTCTTAGTAATTAATGATTCCACGTATTTATTTGGCCGTTATTTGACAGACGTAAAATGCCATAATGTTAATTCGCGGAAATTTAAACACACTGATACTGATAATGAATTACAAATTTGCCAAAAAATACTAAATTTGGTATCCCATGGAAATAATTGAAATCAAAATATTTGGCAATATATTAAGTTTTGTGTCGCATGCACACAATGGAAATATCATACAAAATGGGCCTAATATACTAATGTTATATTTAATTTATTGTAAGAACGAGTTTACATCCTGAAATGGCCACGATGTACCACGGATCGTTTGCATGTGTGTGAGCTATATGCTAACGATCATGATATTATTTATAACACTAAGAAAACAAAGTGTATGTATTTTCCAAGTCGTCATAAACTGAGTAATATACCACCGGTTTATCTATGTAGTCATAAATTAGAATTTGTTGAATTGTTTAACTACCTCGGTCACAAAATTACTTACGATCTTAAAGACAATATTGACATTGATCACCAGAGACGTTTGTTTTGTGTTCGTGCTAATCTCTGGTTGCGAAAATTTGTGAACTGTAGCACTGAGGTTAAGCAATTGCTTTTCAAAACTTATTGTTCTAGTTTTTATTGCTGTCAATTATGGTGTTGTTTTCGAAAGTATACGCTTAATGCCAGGTGGGTTTCCTATAATAATGCTTTCAGGAATTTTTTTTGGATATCCACAGGATTGTAGTGTCAGTACAATGTGTGTTGTTAATACCATTGCCACTCTCTCCGGGGAGTAAGTAAGTGTTAATAAATAAATAAATAAATAAAATAAATAAATAAATAAATAAATAAATACAAACATTCCCTTGTCTTAATAGAAAGCTAGTATCTTTATTTACTGAACGCGTTTATACATCTACTAATGGCATTGTCTCTGTAATATATAGTAGTGACATACGTTGGAACTCACAGTGTGGTACTGGAATAATTTGATTTTTTGATTTTGTAGCATAAACCTAATGACTGTATTTTATTTTAAACAGTAACTACTACTTCATTTTCTCTTTTTGTTTTGTAATTTACTTTATATGGACTCTGTCTGAAATAAATAATAATAATAATACTCAGCTTCGTATATGATGTAAAGTAATTTTTGTTATCTTGATACAACAAATATTCTGGGTTTTGAAAAGTGACAACAAATGCTATTTTGCTTTTACATTGTTTCAATTATTATGTAAATAGTAATTTTGGAATTAGACCAATTTTCTCAAAATGCCAATTCATGTTACGATGATGATTGTACATGCTAAATCAATTAATATTTTTATGCAATTTATGACAAATTATTATTTAATATGCCTCCATGCAGTGACAGTAGATATTTATTATGACATTCTCTCTACCTCCAAGTATCAACCGATTATGACCTCAATCACATGTAACAACAAAATGTTTATTCTGCTTTGTTTTGTGCTTTATTTGGATCATTTTGACAGAATTACAGTCAAATGATAATTGCATTTCACACACAGTACATTGCACAGAAAGGTGCAGTATGGCATGGTCACATCATTGTACTCAAAAGCAAGAGCGTTTTCAGACTTCATTTCATTGTAATCTAGATGCCAAATAGTGATTCTCAAAAGCAAGAGCATTTCCAGACTTCATTTCATTGTAATCTGACAGACAGACAGACTAAGAGATGTTTGTCATCTTGTAACTTGTGTGCCCCTTAACAGAATTGATATTGTATGGATTTCGAGTCAAAATTAAATTCCAAAAATTAGGTGGGTCAGTTATTGACTCCTGTGGCAAGAGGGTCTTCAAGAAACTACAAGAGACTGTAGGTGATGTTAGACGAAAATGGCCACTGATTTTCTTCATGTTTACACTAATTTTGTTTATGTTGCATCATATCAGCATAGAAAGAGCACAAATATATTAAAGGAATATAAAAGGATCCTGAACACAATGGACACAAATGAAACTACCCATCTTCCTGCACCTGGGTGAGTCATCCAGGCCAACTTTGTAGTATGCCGGTAGTCTTCAACAGAAGAGAATACAGTAACATTTTTCAAACAAAGAACAGTAATCAAGAAATAATGAGTTTAATATTTATTATTATAAATCTGTCACCGTAATGTCATAAGTTACAGCGTGCCGTAATTTTGTGGTATTTTACGGGATATTTTCATCCTACCATATAAAGAAATGCCAATTCCAAATATGGAATGATTACGTGCATAAGCGTCCTCTAATAATAAATTAAAACAAACATGGCTGCCACCAGGGTTTGACCAGACTCCACACAAAGAAGTTTGCTGATTCTGTTCTAAACTTTTTTTATTTCGCCATTCCTATGATGGAAAAGTTGGAAGGAAAAGTTGTATAATAATAAGGTTATTACAAGGATACCTCAAAATATGCACTCAGACAGTACGCCGTTGCATCGACATCCACTGCGCGTGGTTGATACTCTCGCTGTACTGTCTTCGTGCATACTTTGATATATCCTCGTAATAACCTCATATTATACAAGAAATGTTGTCATCAGAAATTGAAGTGACTATTAAAGAATATGATATTTTATATTGAATCATATCAACATCCAAGCGCAAGTATCTTCAAATGTGCATTTGTATAAAGCTTTGGCATTTAGACTTTTTAAGACTTAGTGTCACATTCAGCAAAACTGTATTTTGTAATGAGTTATGGGTATTGGGGGGAAAATAAACTTTTTGCTAATATGATTTTTCTATAGAACAGTTTGGCTAAACTTTATGCTATTCTCAAAATGGCCTTTGACGTTCACGTGTTTTGGGCACATGTTCATTCATAAAAGACATTAATAAGAACAAAAAAATGGTGGTGTTCTCTGTTTCTGAAAAAAAAAATGTATATAATATACTATGTACTCTGATATAATGTAAGAGAAAAACAATTTTATTCTATACTAATATCTGGAAATAAAATGTAGGAAAATGAAATGAGAAGTTGAATAGAGCAACAGTATATACAGATTTCACATCATAATTTTAATTACAAGTTTTTGTTGTACACATTAGGGACAAGTTCAGCAGTGTTAAGTTGCAGTATTTACTCTGGCATCAAAAATGTTCCATACACCTATAACCAGCCATAACATCAGTTAATTGGCTGACAATGAAGCTGTGTTGCAAGCAATGTTGCCTCCAACAACTTATCAATAGCATAATCTAACCCAAAAAACATCAAATCAACATGGCCAACATCATGTTCCAATACATGTACTGGCTCCAATTTTTTTCTTCTCATTTTGTTTATTGAATATTTTTGGGTTAGCCAGTTATCAGGTTTTTGTATATAGTATCTTGGTCGCCTTAATTTAGTCTACATTCAGCTATGAGTGCATTGGGCCATTTGTTGTTTCACTCTTTGTTACATTTTGAGGAGTTTGTAACCTGTGCTCTGATTGGTTGACACCTACTAGTAAAAAAGATTTGCACAGGATTCCAATATACATAGGGTCAGATGTACATGTAGTTAAGGCGACCAATACAAAAAAAAATTAAATGGCAAGTCAAACCTAAAAAATAGTAATAAATGAATAAAATAGAGAAATAAAAAAATAAATTGGAGCCTATACCTTGGATTTAATTCAGATTGATCATGATACCAATAGCACAATGGGTAGCATGTCTGTCACATCGCCAGAGTTCAAACACTCCCTTGGTGTTACCGGTACTTCTTAGAACAGAAAAACTTGTTATTTCAGTCCTAAACAATTTACGGTATTTATTAAAAGTCTTGGAACAATTTATGAGAACAACAAGCCATGCATGGCACAGTCCCCATTACCGGTAGTTATCTAATTTAAGATATATAATTTTGTTTATAGTAATATAGTTGGAACATAAACATGTCAGAAGTATGGATCCAAAAGATGATGCTTGATTATGGTGATTTTTTAACATTAAAATGATTGACATCTTGTTCGTATTGCTCTGGAACAGCATTAATTAAAACAAAATGGCCACCAGTCGGCCATTTTGAATACATCTATGTATCTATAAAATGATGTAAAACAAATCTATAAAATTTGAACATAATCAGTCAGAGCATATCAGAGATATGGCTCTAGAAGCACATTCATTTAAACAAAATGGCCTCCAGTCAGCGATTTTGAATCTGATCTGAAAAATAAAATGATGTGCATCAGGAACCCATAATATCTAATATATGTAACAAGTTTGAACAAAATCCATACATAAACACCAAGATCCAGTTTTGAAAGGCCAAAAGTGATTTTTTTAGCACAAAAATAGCTGCCATTTGGCCATTTTGAATCAGTTAGTCAAACCAATATATCCAAGTCATGATGTATAATGAATATATAAAATTTGAACATAATCAGACAAAGCATGGCAGAGATATGCACGGCACTAGAACTGCATTCATTAAAACAAAATGGCTGCCAGTTGGCCATTTTGAATTGGATCTGAAAAATAAAATGACATGCATCAAGGTTCCATAATGTCCAATGTATGTACATGGTTTGAACAAAATCCATCCATAAAAACTCGCTTTTGATGATTTTTTTAGCACAAAAATGGCCACCATTGGGCCATCTTGAATCAGATCGTGAAACAAATTGATGTGCATATGTATAATATTATGTATGATGTATGTGTGAAGTCGGATTGTGATTGGTCCAGGCAAGTCTAAGATACAGGTCCGAATGCACGCACACACGGACACACAGACACACACATGCAAGTATGCACAAAGGTCAATCCATAAGTCCTCGTTTTCGGATTGCATCCGAACGGGGACTAAAAAGGTGAAACTCAGAAACATGACATTTAGTGTACATAAAGTCCTGCAATGGAGCATTCTTATTGATTGAAGAACACTAGGTGGGTCTCAAAACTTAATACAACTGTAACACTATGTTTTACTGATGTTCAATTTTTAATGATGATCAGAATAATTCAGAACTTGTAATTTATCATAGCATCTGGTAATGAAAATAAGTTGTTGCAGTGGTTGAGTGGCAAACAGAAAGCAGAAGTCAGTCATTTCATTTAAAATTGTTATAGTTTATTATCTACAATGTAATGGTGAAAACATTACAAGTTCAGATCAATGACTTGCAAGCTGGGATCAGATTAGATATCATATACAACTGTATATCGAGGCACAGAAATCAGTGACTTGATTATTTAAATATTGCTGTATATGCACCAGTAAATATAATATTTTCAACATACATAGACCAAATACAGGTATATAAACTTGGTGGGTTAATGTCAGAAATTTCAACACCTTTTGTAACAAGTGTAAAGTTAAGTATATCACATGCAGAACGCTGAACAATAAGTACTATTATAATAATACAAAATATAAAAACATACACATACAATAAAATTAAGCAATACTAAAGTTTATATACTGTACTAATCCCATTAGAAGCGCATTTTTAATAGAAGTTCATGTAAACCACAAATTACATTCATTGTATAATGAATCATTCCAATATTAAAGCGGGAGGGTCGTCACCAGCGCACATGCAGGAATTGAGTCCCAAGCGACGATAACAACACACACTAAAAACGCAAAGGCTCGTGGGTAGACGCTTGTTTAAACACAATGACACGCTATGGCCACCTGACGCACGCACAGGTGTCGACTCCCCTGCTTTAATTATTTTAACCATGGACCATGTTATTTATGTAATCATATGTGCTTGCATTGTACCATTTTAATAAAAGCTGCAGTTTTTAAAAACACATTTTACAGTAGAAGTATAGTAAATACAGTATTTAGTTTCGGGGAAATCACAAGCTGCAATGCATTGCAGCAGATTTCCTGAGACAATATTGGCATGCACTCGTATTCTGATAAAAAAATATTTTATAACTGATGTAGTCTTAACAAGAACATAGATTTCACATCTTCTCAAATAATCCTTGGAGTCTCGTCTTCTCCTCAAGATCCTTTTCTTTCTTAGTCTCCTCCAATATTTTTAATTCTTTCTTGACTACTCCAGATAATGTTTTGTCTAGTTCAGCTGCTCTAGTGAAATCTTTTTTAGCATCTTCAAAATTCCAACAAGCAAAATGGGCTTTAGCTCTCCTGAAAAGAGCTTTCACATTATCTGTAACAACAAAATGACAAAAATATTTATCAAAATTTGAGACTGAAGATATAATTATGAAATTTTTAAAAAATCAGAGAGAAGTCCACCTGAAATACTTATGTACCGAATACAAAGAAATCCAAAATCAGAAATCACTTTTTACAAAAAATAATGATTCATCAAAATAAAAAGAATTGAAGAAATCATCATGCAATGAGCAAATTGAAGAGCGGTCTACCTGAGATACATATATATTGAATATCAAAGCAATCAGACTTGCAGTTTTCAAGAAAATGTTGAAAATATCACGAAAATGACAAAAATATTTATCAAAAATACTGAATTGAAGGCATCAACAAATCTGAGAGTGGTCCACCTGAGATACATACATACATGGTATCAAACCAATTGCATTTTTCAGGCAGAATGTAAATAGTTGACATGAACAACAACGGACAGTCAGTGATATTTTCTGCCCCTCTCAACAAAGTTGACAGCTGAGCTGATAAAAGACTTACCTGAATCCTTGTCTAGTACTGTGTTTGTATGTTCTATCACCTGATAGTAATCCTTCAGTAACAGTTTACACTGTGCATAATTTAAAAGTAAAGGTATTTTCATAGCATCTAACCGCCTCCATTCAGTATCCCCAGGTTTTTCTTTCAATGCTAACTGTTCAAGACAGCCAAGTGCCTCTGCATATTTCTCAGCAGCTTTACAGTATTTTTTTTGCTTGTACAGTTGATTTCCTTCAGCCTGTAAACTTGGTACAGAGTCCATCTTTTCTTGTTCATTCATTGCCCAAGATTCCTTTTTATATTCTCCTGGATAATCAATCTCTGTCACTTCGAAAATAAAGTCGAGCGGCTGTGGATTTTGTAACAGTTCGTCCAAGTCACTGTGACCAAGTCCCGAATTTTGAAACTGGGCTAAACCGCAACAATGTTTCTTTTCATGTTCTATTTTACCACCTGAGGCAAACTCACGGAGACTCTTTGCAACGACTGGGTAAACTCCAATTAACTGCAATCAATAAATAATTAATTATAATTTTATTCACTTTGAAATAGTTCAATACCAATCAACTGGTTCAACATAAATATAAATTAACTTATTTCACTGCACCATATCAATGCACAACTACATGTATGGTTGCCATGACAACTTTAAAATCAAAGAAAGCTTAGAAAGAACTCCCGTGTGCTGAGAGTATTGAAGACACATTAAAAATTAATTCAAAATTACCTGTACATGAGATATTGATATAAAAGCTGAAAACTAATTATGTACATCAGGTAACTAATATGAACAGAACAGAACAAAAAAATTATGAATTATTATGCTAATTAGAGAATTAATATGAACAAATTTTAACCCAAAATTAATCAGGCCTGTCTATTGTCCTAGAGCATTTATGTACCAAATTTTATTCAAATGTGATGATCAGTAATTGAGATATCAGTGTTAATTAATTATGTTAATTAGGTGATTAATAAGCATAAATATTTACCAAAAACTAAAAACTATCAGGTCTGTGCAGTGTCCTATGATGTCTATGTACCAAATTTCATTGAAATGTGATGATTACTACTTGAAATATCAGAAGCTGAAAATTAATTAATTATGCAAATTAGGTAATTAATATG